AGTCATCTGTTGCAATGTTTAAAACCTGAAGCTATGAGAACTGCACTGAAGCTTGCTCTGGTTTACTTCCATTTGGCATCCTGGAGCTAACAGAGTGGAGGAGCTTGAACAAAGTGCTTCAGTCAGCCTCTCTGTGGCTTATGCCCTGAAATGCCCCTGCCCAACAATTCAGTACTGCAGTCCTCCAGTCCTTCAGAGGGTTCGCCCAAACATGAGATGGGGGAGTAAAGCCACCCCCAGCCTCCTGGTTTTATCGAAGCAAGACTAGGAATACCTAATAACTAATGAGGAAATAAAAAAGTGCTGCTCAAATTGCAGGGATGGCAGAGAAGGACATGCTCTGAATTAAATATAAATCAGTACAATACTGCAACATGGCCATCATCCAAGCTTGCATGGTGTGTGGAGGCTGAGGCCCCCCGTTCAGAGCTCTCCTTTGCACCACAAAGCTGGTGAGATCCAGTGGCTGCTGCTGTGCATCAGCCTTGTGCCTAAGGGGGATAAAATCCCTCTGGGCTGAAAGCACCAAACCCATGTCACTTTTTAATGATGCCCACAGACCATGTGGAAAAGCTTCGTGCTGCTCAGCAAAGCAGCTGTAACTGAGCAGTAAGATAATCAATGAGAGGGAACCATGATTATCCATTATCTAGAAATAGGGCTGGCCCAGAATATAAACTCTGGCTCCATGCAAGGAAAAGATTAGGAATTGGGGAAAAAATGTAATAAAGCTGTGTTATTCTGACAGTTAATTCTCATCCACACTGCAGTGCAGTATATATGGCTTTACTGTCCTCTCCTATTCTGCTCTCTTAGCTATATTCCCTCTGGTAGTTGGTTTGTAGCCAGGCAAACTATTCCTGCAGAGCCCAACAGAGATTCATGGTGCTAAACCAGCCAAGCATGCAGTCAAGGTTAATGTTGGCTTTCCAGGACCTCCTCTCAAGATTTCCAAAGCTTGACAAAGTGGGCATGACTCCATGGATCTCGTGAGCCACTGTTTGACTACACAGGAATTTATAGCTATGTGGTCGCTACAGCTTTAGCTGAAGAAGGGATATATTTTACTAGTTAACCTTTTCCAATGAAATCTTAATTGGACTGTGCAGAAGCCAAGAAAAGAAAACCATTCTCAGCTGAAGGATCTAAAATGTATTCTGCAATCAGGCAGGACAAGTGCATGGTAGAGAGAAACCTAATCCTAAATCCCGACCTTTGTGACCAAGGCTAAGAATGGCAATGAATGACACAAAGCAAAATCTCCTCGTTTTGAACGCAGTGTCTCAAACACCTGTCCTGAGTTCAAAGAAGTCTGATCTGCCACTGCATGTTGACATTTGTGAATGTGACAGTGAAACTTAAAAAATTACTGTGAGAAGACTATCAAGGAAAAGATATCAATCAATAGCAACATGAAACCACTTCATGTGCTTCCTTAATGTGTTAAATAATGGCTGAATAAAGTAAGAATATGTAACAGCTGAGTGAAATATTAGACTGTACAGGAACACATGGCAGTGCTAAAAGTATCAGCTTTTCCTGCACAGAGAAGTGGTGGTATTTCTGTATGGACATAGCCAACAAATCTTTCCATCCACTCCAGCTTTTGAAACAATTAATCTCATGGAAACCAGAACGGGAAATCCTGCTGGGGAACCAAATGCTTTAAAAACAGTACTTTGTGAAAGAACCAACGGCAGTGAAAGCAAATGCACCTGACTTTCTGGGCTGCACTCAGAGAAAGCCCCCTTCAGTTGCAGTGACAGATGTGAATACCTCTGTTCTCCTGTATCAAGTCTTTCTTGCCAACTTTAAATCATATTAAGTGCAAAATAGGGGGGGAAATCTTTCCTTACCTAGCTTCAGAGATCTGTTTTTCTCCTTGTCCAAAAAGCCCTTCCACCTGCCTGCCCTCAAGAATTTTGGCTGCAAAATCAATCACCAATCTGAAGAAAACTGAAGGAACCCACTTAGCATTTCCCTGGAGATCAGTGTCCAAACCCTCTCCAGATGCAGAAGGTGCCATTTCTGACAGTACAGGAGTTGGTACCTGCACCTGAATTACCCCGGTTCCCAGGACCCCTACGCACAGCTGGGTAGAGGCAGGTGCCAGAACGGTACTCTGAGACAAGAATGAACCTGGCAGCCAGGGAAGATATTGAGAAAGAGGGAAAGGCAATGTCATCTCCCAGTTTTGGTGGCTAACTCCAGAGGGGTTGTAACAACTGGGGAATGTTCAAAATGTGATTATCCAGACTCCTACAATTAACTAAAATCAGCCCATTTGCCAACTTCAGGGAGGGCAAAAAGGTACATCTGACCACATGAGATGCTCTCCTACCACTATCCCCCAGTTCAGGAGCCAAGGACAGACTTGCAAGAATTCAGCCCTGCCACACAGAGAGGAAGGGGAAATGAGACCCCACGTGGATTTGGTGAAGAGAGGGAGAGAGGGGACAGCAGCGAGCTACTCGGCTTGCATGGTGGAAGAGAGGAGAGGAGCAGGGAAAGCAAGTTATCCAGGAAACAAACTGTAACAGGAGGCAACGAAATGGGCTGTGATTTTAACATTTGTTTCATACTGGCTCTCAGGACAGCCCTGCCTGACACCAGAAAGCACATCCAAGACATGACAAGTTTCAAGTCCAACACGTGTGGGTGGTAGAGTCTCTTTTACAAAAAGGAGAAAAACTTCTACCATAACCCAGTAAGTAGTAAGAACCACATTCAATAATACATCTCCTTAATATTGGTTGTAGAACAATTTTTGCTGAAATTTAAAGCAAATTAATCAGCATGAAGCAGACACTCTCTGGTTGGGAAGATTCAACCCAAATAGTTGCAATTTGGCAAAACTTTAAGCAGTTGAAATGAATTATTGTTGCTGGAAGTGCTAGTCTATTTTAACAATAGGTGGTGTACCTGCATCACTTACCATATGCACAAAATCTAATATTGCGATGACAAAGACAGAAATGAAGGCTGATACTGTTAATCGCTAACACCTAAAGCATTATAAGGAAGTCAGGGAAAGCAGCTTTTTCCTTGGAGTCGAGAGGTGGTAATTTCACCCACTCTTGCAGAGGAAACACTGGTTGCTGAATTTAAATTTTCACAGATCAAAAAAAAGCCCTCCAGGTGGTTTCTAATCCATGCAGTTAACTGAGTGTATGAATTTTGAGACCACCTCAGACAGACAGCATCTCATTTTCCAAGCCTTTTTGAAAAGCCTAATAAAGATGAAATGAGCAGCATTTTTATTACCCATTCCAACACAGAGGCCAGGAGTAGAAACATCAGGGACACCGCTGGGTCAGTAGACAGGTGCTGTGGCTTTTCTGCATTAGAAACTTGAGGATGAAAGTGTGGGTATAGTTTGTATAAAGATGTAGGCAGAGCTGCATAGGGGACTGAGGTTAGAGAAGGAGATGATGGAAAGCAGTGGTGTGCAGAAGGAGCACACAGTGGGTGCACCAGCCTATAAGTTGGACTGACAGTTGCGTAAAAAGAGATTAGTATAATGACAGCATCCTGGGTTCTGAATTTAAATTCTTCAACCAGATTCTAGGGAAATATTATAGCTATTACCTAAGCAAGACAGGTAAATTGTCCAAGTAACTTCAAACATGAAGAACCCTAAAGACTCACTGGGATGGATCTTTGCATCCCTTTGGGATCAGACTTGTATTCAAGCACATCAAAAAGATGTGCAAAAGAGAGTCCCCCCAAGCAGCTCGTCAAAGTAACAGCAGTCCCCCGAAGCCACACTCACTGGCAAGCTCTGTTCCCAGTTTACCATATTGTGCAAGTCCTGTGTAAAACCAAAAGGGAAGCAGCTGTGAATGCAGAGCTCTGCTCACACATTCAGCAGAACTTCCCAAAGCCAGCACAGGCAGGAGGAAAGCCCACTGGCCCAGGGGTGTCAGCAGTTTCCCCCCACACTTCTGCTTTGGAAAGGGGGTACTCAATGCTTCATGGCAAGCTCCAAAAGGGTTTTAGTGATGCCACTATAAAAATACTTGATTCAGAAGAGGCCATGTTGCCAGGCAAGTTAATGCCATAGGGAACATGACGCATTTACGGCTCTTTATGGCAAAAAGTACACAGCCAAGCAGACAATGAGTCTTGAAAGCTTTGTAGGAGCCCCATAAACACTCCTGTGTGCTGATGAGGTGAGAACATGGAGCTCTGTGCCCTACCAGTAGCCACGGGTTCCTTTCCATTTAACTCACTCTTTAACCAATTACACATTCACTACCATTTTAAACCCTCTGTTGCACATTTGACTCTTGTAACATGGATTTATAATCCACACTATCCTCTTCCAAGCATGAAAGCCGTAAGTCCACAACAACAGAACATGGACAAAGTAGAAAGTAAAGAGAGCCCTTACTAGAAGGGCACGAGACAGACTTTGCTCCTGGAGGCACGTTCTCACTAATTCTTGCATCAAGGTGAAGTGACTTGCCTGTGATGGAAAAATGAGTCAGTAGCAGAGCAAAACAGAGGATCGAGGTAACTTGATTCCTAGCAGTTTACTCCAAAAAGTTAATCATCTGTGCTCCCTCCTAATCCCCATCTAGAGAACTTTCTCTGTGGGACATCCAGGTTTATTATCAAACCAGTCTCCCTCTCCCACCTCCCTGGAAGGCCAGTGGTGCAGCAGAGCCATGTGCTCAGTGCTGAAGGTCAGTCTCTAAGGATGAGCAGATATCACTTTTTTGAGGGTGTTGGTGTTGGCAGGTGATCCCTGCCTGTCCTGCACCCTGTTAGGGCAGCAGCAGTCGCATCTTGCAGGAAGACAAACGGTTTCAAACACACACTCCAAAAAGCACCCCATGTTGTGACAGAGGATCCCTCTAAAACGAAACCCACTGGGAAACCCCCATGCAGCAAGCTTGCATGCTGCCATCAAAAGCAGCCTGCTCTTGGCTTGTGCTGAACACCCATCCCATGTGAGTATCATGGACCTGGAGGGGTTTTCTGGCTGTTTTACTGACCTGCAAAATTGCCTGAAAAGGCTGAGGAGGAGTCCTGCAGCACAGTGCGTGGATGGGAAGGGATGCGGGACTGGCCTGGAGCAGCCAGGCAAGCTGCAGTCGCTGTCTCCAGGATGTTTTCAGAAGACAGCAGGTTTTGCTCTGAAAGAAAAGGAGAGAAAGAGAGTTGCAGAGAAGTCAGGCATCTGGCTGAACCTACACAGATACCTACACAGGCATGTGAGGGTAACACTGATCTCCATGTCTCTGAGGTGAATGGAAAACATTCAGCCTTCTACTAAATTCTCTTTATTTGCAGATTTATTTTATTTATTGAGGGTCCCTCACAGTTCAGGAGTATACAGAAGAGTTAATTTAATTTACTATGAAGTGCCACACTATGGTATGAAGTATTTCATACACAGGCAGGAATAAAAGGTTTCACTGAATTGAAAAGCTGAGTTACATTTGATTACATTCAAAGGGGCCAGAAAGCAGAAGAATGGGAGGAAAATAATTTTCCATAGGTGAAAAGAGATGAAAGTTAATGATCTCTCATGGTTAACTTACAGCCTTTTATGCTTTCTGGGTGTTAATGTTAAATCAGCTAGACTCCTGCCAACTTATCTCTGGCTAGATACCTTTACTAATCCAATTTCTTTTGTTCCATTCAAGTTCTTTTACTTACACATCTCAGAGTGTAAGTTCACTTTAAGTTCACTTCAAGTTCACTTCCAGAGTAAAGGGTAAACCTGTCACTTCGCTTCAACTTGCCCCAGGAAATATTATGTTATCAGTGCAGCAAAACATGAGCATGGGTACATAGCCTGGGTTTTTATCATTTTAGCAGGTTCTTCCTTGTGTGCATGGACAATTCAATCCAAACAAGCTCTCACAGTGGTTTTGTTCTCTATTGTAGCACACAGGCCAGCCTGCTTGGATATGCATTTGGTCATTAGAAATGAAATGTTGCAGAGAAACTGGCTGAATTTCAGGAAAATCAGGCATTCTTCCTGGGGAGCACACCTTCACCATGAGAGCAGAAGCATTTTGCAGAGACGCACCGAGCTTTCTCCCCATGCCGGGAATGCTCTAACCCCAAAAACTGCACTTTCCCAAGGATGCCCACTGCAGCAGGAGACCAGGTCCAGTGCAGGTCAAGCTCAGGCTATTATATCAGGGTATGCATGTCCAAACCTGCTCAGGACGTTGCTGACTGACATAGGGAATAATGCCATTTCTAGTACAAAGACAACCTCTATCTGTGGAGAGGTTGTGCTGCTCTTTAAAGAGCAGCCAAGAGCAGAGTGTGCTCTCCGATCCCCCCAGCTGCCCACTAACAGCGGGAGCCTCTCCCGCCGAGTGCCTGTGTGCATCTGGAGGGACCGAGCCCCCGGCAGCTGTACCGATGCCACACTAAGCTGCCAAGTCTGCTCAGATCCACAAAGGCGCCACACACTCCCAAAAACATCCCCTGCGTGTGCCTGTAATTTCGTCTAAATTCACCCTTGAACCTCATGGGCATTGTAGGCTCCCCCCCGCCACCCTTCCAAAACACAGTGCAGACAAACCCCCTCTTCATTTAACTTGAGGGAAGGAATTTAAAAGCCCTAATACAGAAGAGCACACTTCCCTCTTTGTGCATGGGGAGCATCAACTGGAAAGAAGCCAAGCAATTACTGAGTCCTGGAAGAAAAAAACAGCAAACTTGTTACCCTGAAGAATTACAAACCAAGGCTGAAAGAGATGTAAAAAAAAAAAACAAAAACAAAGAACCGAACACATCCAAAGAGGCATAAAACAGCTATGGCAAAGCACTCAGGCCTTGGGAGAAGGAGCATTTATCCCCCCAGCAGTGCGACTCTGCCGGGAGCCTCTCCCAGCCGCCCGCTCTTCAGCGCCGTGGCTATAACGAGTTCCCCTAAACGTCCTGTATAACGCATGCCAGCCGGTCGATCACACCAAGCTGAGAGGAACTGCATCAGAAAATGTATGGCTGAAATCAGACAGAAGTAAATTCTCAGCAGGGGGACGTTTCTCTGGAGGTCATTAATCTGCTGATTACAAAGCCTGCTGACTGCCAGCCACGTCAGGCAGACTGGCCTGGCTCTTGCAGAGTGCTTTCCGTTGGCTTTTGACCCAACTGAACATTTACACAACCTAAATGTTTCTAGCATTTATTTCACAATGCTCTTCTGAATCTTAGGAAGCGTGCGCTGTCCTTGTTTTGGTCATCTCCTCCCTGCTGCTGTTGCAGAGAAAGGGATGGCTCCCTGGCAGAGACCAGCTGGGTGCGCAGATCCTCCATTTCAGCTTGAGCAATCCTTACGAGCAGGCCGTGGTTTTCTCAAGTATATCCGTGACTCAAGCTGACCTTACACTTTCTGCTGGCATTTTGCTTTTTGGCTGTTTTCCCCCCTCTCTGGACTTGTTACAAGGAGTTCACTGACAGAGCAGGCTATTGCACAGCCTCTGGGCTGTGATTGACCATGTAAGATCACAAGACCTTTTTGTTATAACTTCTATAAGTGGGGGAAAGGCATGGCTTTGAAGTAAAGAAGGTTTTGTGTTTTTTTTTCTTGAGAACATCAAATCTTCTGGATCAGACAGTCCTTGCCCAGGGCATTGTTCCTAGAAAAAGGATTGTTTTAGCTTTAACCTCAAACTGCACCCTGACCAGTAACAGGCCATGGGTGCAGATGGATATAAATTCCTCCGGCTGAGTTTTTAGCTGGCCAGATGCAAGCCGGCTCCAGGCCAGAAGCCGTTGGGCTGCGTGAGCATGGCGCTGAGCCCGGCACTGAGGGTTGGAGCCCTCCGCACACAAACACAGGGGTGGGAGTCGACTCCCTCCTCTCCATCCGAGGCTCTCTAGGCGTGGAAGGGTGCCAACATCTGGACAGGGCATGTCTGCTCAGCCCAACCTGCATGCTAACGCAGCTCGGCCCCTGTCTGGCCCGATCTGACACTGGCAAAAGGGTCACACCTGCCTGTGGACTCAGCATTATGCATTTTTATACTTTTTTTTCTTTTAATTTAAATGCAGATCTCTTGCAATTTTACTCGCAAACACTTGGCTACCAAGTGAGTTGTGATGTCCAGTGAATGACTTGCAACACCATCCATTCAGGGGAGACACCAAAAAATAAATCGGCAAAATTTGCAGGGTTGCTTGCAGCATCTGCCACGTGATCCCAGCTGCGGAGGAGGTGGCTCACTCCTTTGTCACCGTGCCTTGATGCCAGGGATCTAACAAGGCAGCTGAGAAACTCCAAATGCTGTGTGAAGCAGGGTTTCATTAAAATAAAATATACCAGGCACATTGCATGTATTGATTTGTAATTCTCACCAGTGCTTGTTTTCATAAAGTAATTGCAGATGCTTGCTCTTGTCGCTCGCAAAGAGAGCAGTCAAATCTTAGTCTGCCTTGCTTAACAGCCTCTGCATCAAAGACCTCATGAGAGGTTTGGACACTTTAAAAGGATCAGCAATTATCTGTGGTGCTAGCTTTGCATTTACTTTCCTTGCATATTCATGCCAGCAATATTTTAGCATGCATATAACAGGAGGAAGCAAAGACTGACAATGGGGGATACAGCTGAAGTGAAGCAGATGTCTTTTAAATTCAGAACACATACAGCACAGAAACACTGAGTGATCGAACACAAACTAGAAGTGAAACCAGAAAAAATGGATTTTATACTTAAAACTGAGCACTGCAGAAAGAACAAAGAGCCTAAGTGGTGCAAAACAAACTTATTTTAAAAAACTCTTCACTCTGAACACCCTAGTGCATTGCCAAGTAGCACAGGTAAGGAATTTCAATAAATTTAGTTTTATGTCGACCATGTCCCTTTAATTATTACTTTTTGGCACAGCATGTAGGACACCTCCAGGCCAAAACACAAGTGATGTTGAAAGTACAACTGTTCCTTCCCTTTGGAAATGAAAGTTTTCTGATTGTTATATAAACATATTTGGATCTATTTTTTAGAGATTCATCCCATTAGCAATTATACTATTAACAGTGAGTCAGAGAACATTTTGCTGATGTTTTAAAACATGTAACTTAAGGTCAGAACCTACTAAACTTCACCAGGAAAGCAGACCTGATATGAAACAGCCTTATTTGCTCTGGTGGGATTGCTCTAATGAGCAAGGGTTTGCAGCATGTGATCTTAGATTGTGAACTATATAGAGCCGCTTCGGTTTAATTGCAAGGCACTGGGCACATCCAGGCAAGAGCAAAACATAAGGATAAAAGAGCAGCTCTAGAGAAACAGCAGATAATTATAAAATGAAAAAGAACCAAGGGTGGAGGTTTTCTCTTTTTCCTGGTTAATCTGGGAAACTTATTCAACTGAGGCAGCAACAAGTGGTCATTAGAAAAGTTCTGTGACACGCAGGCAGTAAAAAAAAGCTCAAATCCAGGCTTTTACAATAATCACAGACCTGAAGACAGATATTCAGCTTCTCTTGGAACAGCTCTCTTCTAAAAGCAGACCTGAAACGTAACCCACACGCCAGAGGCTATCTTTGGTACAGAAGCCCTTCTGGATAAACCAATGCGATGAGTTTCTTGGCAGTGGAGTGGAGTTACTTATAACTCTGATTTGGCTTTTGCACAACGCAGATGAGGCCATGGAAAGAGGCAGGCAGGCAGGCTGGTGAAACTCAGCTGCTTCGTTTTGCCGCAACTCAGTATTTTATGAAATTTTGATCCGTACGGATTAGACAACTGCCTCCTCTCCCACACTTTAATTTCACTTGGGTTTCAGAGAAAGCTAAAAAAATGGAAATAAAACTCAGATTAAACACAGCTTCTGTTTTGCGCATGTGCCCATTGGCTCAAGTCACACAAAATGGTCGGGTTTACTTGGTTTTGATAGCATGCCGTGCAGCTTACATTTTTCTCCAAAAGCTTGCGAATTCCCTGGCCGCTTGCACAGCTGTGGCCTGGCTGCTGGTTGTGTGGCAGAACCACACAGGTTTTACACAGTTTTGCTTTTTGCCTGGGTACGTTTCTGTTAAAGCTGTTTCCCTGCCAAAACCACAAAGGATGAGGCAAAGAGGAAAAATCTCCAAGGCTGTCAGTGAAACTGTTCTTGAGTAAGGTGACATGAGCCTCGCCTACAGAAGATTAAGCTTAATCTCTGAAAAGGGACAGCAGAAAGGCTGGTAGACTTCAAAATGAGCTACAACAGCTGTGTTTTGGTTGGCCAACAACTGCTCTCTGCTTTGGCTGCGGCTGGCTCGACTCATGTGAACAAGGCAGATTATTAAAATACAGCGTTCAGCAATCCCATCCTTGGAGCACTTGACAGAGCAGCATTCTCCTTTGTATTTCACTGCTTTGACTGAATGTAATAACAAAGCAAAGTGGAGTGGTAACGCGATGTGCCTGTGACAACAGAGTCAACGATAATTGTATGGTCCTGTCCTTAGTTCAAAGCAAAAGATACCGTTTACTGGCTTAAAGCGTGTCTTTTTGTTTCAAAAATACCTTTTGGGTAGGGAAATGCATGCCCTTCTGTCTGTCTGGTTTAACTGCTGGGTTTAATTGGCCTTATTTTAGAGCATAATAGATAAATCAGCAAGACATGGCAGAAGTCAGAATAAATCAAGCTAGAAAGCTTTTCATGACTTACTAGTCACCACAGAAGGAGAGAAACTGCCAATTTTCCACAGTAATAAGCTATGCTACCAACCTGAAGAGTAGCTTAAAATAATTAACAGTACCAAAAAAAGAAAGGGCGTGTATACGAGTGTGTCTGCAGAGCCACTCCACCCAGTACAATGGGAAAAAATTAACTGGGTGGACCTGCATTCCCGTGGCAGCTCAGAATGACTGCGCTTTATATTTCTGTGCCTGGAGATATACATTTCTTGCACATGATCACAAGCGATAAGGCAAAAGAAGAGCTTGAAAAGCAAAGCAAGACAAAACAAAGCACCCAAGAAAAAAATGGAAATAATTTGTATGACAAGATAAAGAGCAACTCACTGTGTGTTTTCAGGAGTGCTGGTTTTCATCTTTGCAGTAATTATATCGTTTATTAGGTGATGTTTCCTGAGTGATATTTATAGTTATTGTGGGAGGATGTCATAACATCCATGTTTATTAGATAACTTTTGGGATCTTGCTGTGGGAGAATATAAGAGAAAAGAATGAGAGAGATAAATTGTCTAAGAAAGATCAAGTGCTCTGTTTGAATACGAAGGGCACAATGCACTTAACGGAGACAGGGGAAATAACTACCCAGTGCTCTTTTTCCTGCAGATGTAGGATGTCTGGTATTCAGATAAAACCTGGTAACTAGGACATCTCTCATACTGACAAGAATCAGGAAAAAATGGATGCAAGCCTCCCAGTTCCTGCTGGGAAGGAAGGAGCTCAAAGGAGAGATGCAGGTGCAGAAAGGCTGGGAGATCTGGAACGGGAGAAGACTGGAAGGAACCCTGGGGCACAGAAAGGCTTGTGCCACACACAAGAGAAGCACACAGTGCTTTTAAGCTGTACTTCTTAGAGAGGAATTGCTCAAAATGAGTTTCCTCCCCATTGAAGGGTTTCTGTTCTGGGGGCTGGACATTTGAGGCTGATCAATAATCCTGCTGTTGATGGCAGCCTGGGAATCATAGTGCTCTGTGCCACTGCTTCTGTACAGGGACTTGAGGTTAAGGTCAGATTTAAAAAGTGGGCTGGGCTCTGACGTAGCATAAGGCAACATGTTGTACCTTATTAGAGCTTTGTTAGTCCAGGTCTGGTCACCATCACCTCTGTTGATAAGTTTGTTTCCTCAGGAAAGTCCAAGAAGAAAAGTCAGCACCATTCACTTCACCTTCATGAGCAAGATATTGGATTATTATAAGAAAAGAAAAAGAAAAAGAAAAAGAAAAAGAAAAAGAAAAAGAAAAAGAAAAAGAAAAAGAAAAAAGAAAAAGAAAAAGAAAAAGAAAAAGAAAAAGAAAAAGAAAAAGAAAAAGAAAAAGAAAAAGAAAAAGAAAAAGAAAATTGAAGTGTAGTTTTTGTCTGGAAAAATAAAAAAAGATTGTATCAGTTGTACAGGGAGAAATATTCAAAGTATTCAATTTTGATTTCTGGAGTCAAATCAACTCGATTTCCTCTCCCTTAATAGGATGTCCCTTTGGTATTTGATATCTTTTCTGTATTTTGAAATGCCAATTTTGTTGTTGTTGTTAGTGAAAAAGATGTTAAGAATCCTCCCAGAGTGCACTCATGAATAAATGTTAAATTCATTCATTTCCTAAAATCTGTCATCTTGGCTGTGCAATGTTACTTGAGACAACACTACTGCAAGTTTGTTGTGGGGCCCACTCCAGGTCTCCTCTCAACCTGCACCTCTGCGCAGAGCGGAAGGCATCACTGCTGTCAGCTTTGCCAACGAATCTCAGACAAGCAACATCACTGATCACTTGGCAGAAGCAGGATCTCCTCGGCGGGCCTCAAGGAGGAGGAGGGGAAAGTAAATCTAACTGCCCAACAGTGCATAAAGAAGGGAGGTACCAATGTGACAGGGGCTCATCTGATCCCAAGGGCTTGGGTGTTTTCATCTCTTGCTCCACTGTGCTCTGCATTTCTTGTCAATGTTGTATGCACAAGTCTGCTACTGTCTGATTCAAGCAGAGCGAACTTGGTGAGAAGAGTACAGACTTCATGCACTCCTGTCCCCTGGAAATTGAGTCTGTAGGTCAGAGAGTGGGAGCAGGGGGCACGATACATCAGAGCACTTGGGATGCCTGGGAGGATAAACGCTGCACACAACTATGTCTTTAATGTGCAATTGCTTTTCATAGCCATGCCTGGTTTATGGACCTGGGAAGCTTTTTCCTCATTTAAAAAGTAAGCTTTATGGATCAGCAACAAAACGGTAAGGTGTGTCTTCAGTGTAATTTATTTACAACAATGATGGAGCAGAGAAAGAAACACTTGGGTTTTAGCTCTTCAGAGTTTGGAGTGACTGCCATTAGAAATATCACCTTTTGACTTGTAGAAAGAGCACATTTGATCTGGGAATTGCTCAGAGAAGAAAAATCAATATGGACTGGTATAATTTGTTATTTACACAAAGTCATTCTACTCTTGACTGCTAAAGGCTTTATACCTTTTAGTAATGGATATTTTTCAAATAGATTGCGCTGAAGACTCTAAACCCCACACAGTTCTTCTCTCCCTCTTGGCTGCTGGTTAAATTTTTAGGTTCAAGAAAGAGGTAAAGCAGCCAAGAGAATGAGGCAGAACTCTGCAAGGAAGAGGTCAAACGTGGGCACTGGTGACATTAACTCCTAGTTGGGAAAAGTTTTAAGCTCCACATGAGAGGTCTGTGAATAGCTGTCAAACTCTTCTGTCAAGGTGGGTTTTTCCATGGCAGCATGATGTCTGGTCCCAAAGAGCCACACTGGGCAGAGCAAAAGAGAATAGCGTCAAGCTCTGCTCTGCAACAGCGTTTTAAAGCTGAAGGCAACCAGCATAACCATCCAGCTTTGTTCATCTGGAGAGAAGAAATTGCTCTTTGCTTTTTGAATGCTGGGTTTGTTCTGCACTGCTGCTAAGCTGGGGGGTCTTTGTTTGGTTTTTGTTGCCTTCTTTTTTTTAACTTTGTCATCTGAGGAAATCCATTTCTAGAGTAAAACTAGCAAATTCCTTTTACAAGATGGATGCAAATGAAAGCAGTCGTCTAAGCTGTCCCTGTTTTAATGCAGAATTTGATTATTTCCTTCTCTTTCATCTCCATCTGCTGTCTGCTTATAGCTACTCAGGTTTACCATTTTCAATGTCCCTGGTTAACACTTTCTGCTGGAGTAATGCCTTCTGTCTTATTGCCACATCATTGTCTTCAACATCTGATCTGCAGAACAAGGGTAGCATCCCAGTAGTGCATCCCATATGGTCTCTAGCTCTTTCTTTGCTCAAGGTACAGAATTGTGGCTCTCTGAAACTGGAGGTGTCATTTGGTCTGAGATGTTTTGGTTTTGAGATGGAGAACTGCACGTGTGGATCTGAAGTCTCTTGGAGAAACGCTTCCATAATAAAAATGAGACTGGTGGTGACAGTTTCCATTATGGTAACGCAGATGAGTTCTTGTAAGTCCTTTTGTCAAAATTAAACTCTTCTGCTTGGACCAGAAAGATAATTCCTCTGTTTGAAATCTAGATCTGATATTTTGCTATTCAATTAAATTTCTCTGCCGTCTTAAGTAGACTGCAACTTTTACTCAGTTTCCTAAATGTGGCACTATGAGGGAGGGAGGGACTTATTCACTGCTCCTCTCCCTGAGGCTGTATTTAGGATCTGCAAAAATTAACCTATAAGAGTGTCTTAAGGTGCAGCTCCCTTGCATTTGTTGTGCCACCTCCCCTGTAAATACAGTCCCTTCATTAAAATAGGCCTATTAACCTCCATTGGTTCATTGTCACTTCCATGACCTTGGGAGGTCAGAATCCTCCTTGATAACAACATTCCTGTTTGTTTTCAGCTGGTTTCTCACATGCTCCTACGAGTGACCCCAAACAGTAGAACATGGGAACATATACATGCCCATCACTCAAAAAAGCGCACAAGGTTTCATTTTAGGTCAATCAGCCTTGACAGCATCCTTTTAAGAAGAGGCCTTACCTTGGTGGATGGATAGGAGTCTCTGGACTCTGACCATAAAGGTCCTTCTGATTCACTTCCTTCACTACCTGTTCCAGGGTACATTTCCCTAGGGAGATTTCCCACAGTCAGGAGGTGATTCTATACGTAGCAGCTTACATAGCACCATCTGACCTTACCATGCACAATATTTAAGCAGTGTTGAGCAATTAAATGTGTCAGGGATGCCAAAGCTTGAAATAGTGCAGGAGTCACAGGGGAGACATCTCAAACTGGAGGTACAGCAGGGACGAGGGATTAGTTACAAGATCAAGATGGAAAGAAGTGATTTGGAAACTTTATCCCTTCCCATAACTACTGATTCAGTGAAGTGGTTTTTTTCTCCACTGCAGTCATAGCCAGCAGCATATACAGAATAAGGATTGAAATATTTTGAAGTGCTGTCACAGTGTGAGTGATTTTCTTTAGAGCATAAAATCAGACTGCAAAGTTATTTTCTGTCTGCAGCGACACAAGAAGAATATGAATGTGATCATATCTGGCCCTGGGCATACAGGAGAGCAGAACTGGCCTTAACCAGATTCTCTTTTTTATTCAGAGTCCTTCTAAGAAATATAAAATCCTAAAGAAATTCTGAATCTGGCTAGATGTCTCATAAGAGGAACAGGATTTCTGCATAGCTGAAACAGCATGACTTTGATTATTTGAAAACGCATGATTTAATCATTTCATTATGCATACCTTTTCTCAGCAGGTGCCACAGCCTAAAACAGACAGAGACAAGCATTAGATAAAACAACGTGCTTTCTAGCTAAAGAGATTGGAATCAAAGAGTTTAATCTTGCAAGACACTGATATCCTTGGTGCCTTTAGACTTGGCTGCAAACAGCAGGCGTGCGGCATACTGCCAAATCGAGCCTTAGCAGAGTCTTCTGCTCAGAAGTGACATCCTGCGGGATGACTTTGCTTTCTCCCTTCCATAGTGCACATCTGCCCATGTCCACCTCCCTCCTCCTCTTATTCCTCACACGCATTGTGTGCAGAGTGCTGTCAGTGTCCTGTCACCCACTGTCAGCTCACGTTGCTTTGACCACCCCTACCTCCCTGCCACACATCCATCCAACAGCTGTCCAGGCTGTGAAATCATCACAGAAGAGACCTGGATCTCAGACCTATCTATGAAGTACCTAAGCAGCTCCTTGTATAGTCAATAAGTACCCTCAGCGCAGCGTCCTTGTCATGAGTCACAGAGAGCTACTCAGTAACAGTGCGCAACACAGCGCTTTGGTTAGCAGCGGGCAGTCCATCATGTGTGGTTAGCATGCAGATACTCTTTTTCCTGCACAGAATACTTGGTACGTCCCTCTCTACAATGCCAGATCCTTTTCCTCTAGTAGATAGTGGAAACAACCAGCGCCAATTCTCTGCACTATCCCACAAGCAAGGTCTGCACTGTACTTCTCCCTTGGTACAGCAAAGAGCAGTTTGGCTTTGCTGTCTTTGCAGCAAGATGTGTGCTGCACAGCAACCCAACACGGACATGCTTGTAATGCTGTATTATTTAGTAGAGGGGCAACAGTGTCTGGAAGAGCCTGCTTTGATTGCGGAACAGAGCCTGCGTTCGCATCCCAGCTCTCCAATTCTCCACTTGTTTTGGCAGACAGCTGAACCAAACGGCCTCTATTTCTAATGAAAATAAAAGAACATGAACTGAAATCCCCTGGGGAGAAGGCCCCAAATGTGAGCTCATGGAATAGGCTGGTTTTACAGTGCTGGAAATGAAGGGCATTGCAGTTAGCTGCTGGGGTGGACTGACAGCCACGTACCGGTCGTGCCCGTCGTCCAAGCTGGATGGGAGGTGAGTCCTCTGCATTAGTGAGGCACTGAACACCAAGCTCAGGGCTCATCTCTCAGCCTGGGCTCAGCGCTAAGTTCAGGAGGCTATTAGGCTCTGGATTTGAGCCTGTTGGCATCAGTGCCAGCAAGAGGCAGTGTCAGTGACTAGTCCATGCCTCTTTATCAGTGCAAATAGGGCTTCCATGACAGGACCAGCGCAAAGTTGGTTGGCAAAAGGCTGCTAAATAGTTTCCCCCTCCCACCGTGGGAGGAGATGGGTGAGGAGCAGCTGCCAAGACCACCTTTGTCCGTTCACCCTAAATCCCAGCTTCATACCCAGGTTAGCACCCGTCACTCGTAAGCTATTCTCTGCTCTCCAGTGAATTGGGTTTTTGAAGAGTTTGGCACAAGC